GATCGCCCCCTGCCAGACAGTCCAGTTTCTCCCCGTGTGAGTCCTGGGTCCCCAGAGACTTCCCGGAACCGGAGATCAGAGCCGATGGGAGCTTGTGACTCCCTCTGGATTCAAAAAGACAGCCGCGTCCTCAGGTGCCAGCCCTTTTCTGTGCGCGAGCCCCCTACCTCTGCGCTTTACTTCTGCAGCTTCTCTTGCTCTCAGTGTGCTTTTCTTTCCTTCTAGTTGTAGAATTTACAGTCAGCCAGGCTTCCTGTGGTTCTGGATGCTGTCCGTATTGTTTTTCTGAGGTATTATTCAATTGTTGTGTGCGGCAGCGATTTCCCGGTGTTTATCTATGCCGCCATCTTAGTTTCTCCAAGAATACTCTTTAATATGTGAAAACTTTGACGAATATCTGGTCATTTGAAAGTTCTGTGGAAAACCTATTTTGTTTATATTTGTTTTAAAACATACTAATCATTGGATATAACTATTTGTTATATTAGTACAAATAGAATAACAAAGGAAATTGAATCTTTGGTCATTGGGGATTTCTGATGATCTCAGAGCATTCATTCTGGGCAAGATTTCTCACATAAAAAATTAAAAAATATTGACAAGTAGGTATAGGAGATGAGATTGTGTGTATGTTACAATAAGACCGAAGATGCCTGGTAGGCATGGCTCAGTGGTTGAGCATCTACCTCTGAGCCAGGAGGTCATGGTACAATTTCTCAGTCAGGACACCTGCCTGGGTTGTAGGCCCAATCCCCAGTGGGGGCTGCGCAGAAGGCAGCCAGTAAATGCTTCCCTCTCATCATTGATTTCAATCTCTCTCTCCCTCTCCCCGCCTCTCTGAAATCAATACAAATATATTAAAGACCAAGGATCTATAAATTGCCTTTTTTGAATAAATATGTAATTAATTATTTAAAACTTTTTTGAGACATCCTTAAAGGTACTTAGAACTCTTGCATTTTGCAGAACAGCCTTAAGTTAACACAGGCCCTCTTTTTAAGTCCCAGGATCATCAAAGAGAAACGAGAGGAGGGCAGTGCAAAAAGCTGGAATTAGCTCACCGATTGAGCTTTTAAACATCAAGGTTTATTTAAAGTAAGCCTTTAATTGGAAGTTTTGGGTCTGGCCTATTTATAGTGTTTAAAACGTATGTGTATGTTCTATGAATATATGGATATGTGCCTAGAGGCTCTGGTAATAGGTGCAGTCAGATATATTTATATACAAATGCTAAATTTCTATTCTACACCTCCTTGTTTTAAAAAAAAGTCTATCCGCTTCCATTCTGTTTAGGAAATGAGAAATACATTGGAGATATTTTTTTCATACTAATATAATGAATTCCTTGTTTTTCTGGTAATGGGCAACTGAGATAGTATAGGTAAATGAAACCTATCGACCCTGAATCTATTTTAGTTATGAATATCAATATCTTTCCTTCCTAAATATTTATGAGGTCTCATAACATACAGGAAATTTAAAAAATAATTTGAGTTAATTTACAGTATTTTCTCTCTTTTTTTTTTTTCTATCCTGTGCCAGAGGTATTCTGGAGCAACCTAGTGTTCAAGTCTGCTTTAAAGGAAACTTGCCTTTCCCCACAAGACACCACTGCTTTCACGGAGATATCTCATCATCCATGCATTTCACTTATGGTGGGAGCCTTTGACTGTTAGCCTATCATGTGAATACCATTTCCCTTAGGTTTTCTTTTATACCTATTTGAATTTCTCCCTCTTCTTTATCCACCACTGTATCTCCATTCATCCAAATTCCTTTGTTTCTTCCTGAGACTGTAAAAACAGACAATGAACCTGACTCCCTGCCGCCAACTTGTTCACTGTTTCCCTTCCAGCTGTCACTAGAGCCCTCATGACCTGATCTTGTCAGAAACATGCTTAGTATCTCTGTGATAATCCTCTAGCTCCAAGTTGCCTATAGAATCAAGACTAAACTTCTTGACATGTTATAAGGCTCTTCACAGCCCAGAGCAAACCTAGGCTTTTCTCTTCTTGTATTTTATTGTCTTTTTTGTATTTCCTTGAAGAATTACGTGATAATTTTGACTCTTCAAATAATTTAGAGGTGAATAATGTATTTTTGCATGCATTTTTCTATGTTAATGCAACTCTTTCTCATCTGTACAGTGAGAATAAGAATAGTATCTGTTAAACCTATAAATTCATGCTGACCAATGTCATCCCTATCAGTTTAATTAAAAAAAGGATAGTATCTGTTTTATAGTTGTATGGATATAAATGACTTAATACACATACATAAAACATTTAGGATATTAACATACACAATATTCTGCAATTTGCTTTTTTTAAAAAAATCTTTAACTGAGAATATGTGTGTGTGTATGTGTGTGTGTGTGTGTGTGTGAGAGAGAGAGGGAGAGAAGAGAGAGAAACATCGATTGGTTGCCTCCTGTATGCACCCCGACCAGGGATTGAACCCTCAACCGACGTATGTACCCAATGTACCCAGCTACCTGGCCAGAGCTCTGATTCATTTTAAAGTTAAGCTTGGTATGTGGCAAGGTAGGAATCAAGACTCTTTTTATTTATTTTGGCCTAAGGATATGCATTTGTTCCAGAACAATTTTTTGCTAATTCGTTTCTTTAATGAATTGCCATTGCACCTTTGTAAAAAATCAATTGCATATATGTGTGAAAGTCTAAATTGACTTTCTGTTCCTTCATTCAGTCTTTCCTCCAATACCAAGCTATCTGTCTTGTTTACTAGAGATTTATTATAGCCTTAAAATCAGGTAGTGTTCATTTGGGACAACATTGATGGACCCAGGGGGTATTATGCTAAGAAAATAAGTCAGAAAGAGAAAGAAAAAGACCATGTCTTTTCACTTGTATGTGGAATGTAAAGAACAAAAGAAATGAACAAACAGAAACAGACTCATAGATACAGAGAACTGAGAGTTGCCGGATTGGAGGGTGATGCCACATGAAAAAGGTGGAGGGATTAAGAAGCTACGAAAAAGCCATGGAGATGTAAAGTACAGCATAGGGAATGTACTCAATAATATTGTAATAACTATATACGTTGCCAGGTGGGTACTAGACCTATCAGGAGGATCACTCAATAAATTATATAATTGTCTAACCACTCTGCTGTACATCTGAAACAAATATGAAATAATATGGAATGTCAACTATAATTGAAAAAGAAAAAAAGTATCCTTTTAATTACATTTTGAATAAGTACATTCTGTTCATTTTTGTCATCCCGCCTTAGTTTAATTCAGTTATGATCTCTCATCGGGAACAGCTGTTTATTTCTCAGAGAAGCCTGTGTGCTCTCTGGTACTTCAGGTATCTTACTGCTTTGTAATTGTGAGTTTATATGTCTAGATCCTGTTCTTGTGAAGAAGGACCTTAAGTGATGATTTTCTGCTCTCAGTGCCTAAGTTTAATATGTAACATGCAGTTGGGGTACAATCAATATTTTGCGAGTACATGAATTAGCTTGTTATTAGATGTTAGTTTGGATGGCTTTAATATCATCGCGAGCATTAGATAAAGCCATTTTTTGGTCTGCTGTTGGAAAAGTGTCTTTCAATGCCTTATTTACTCAATAGCTAAAAATAGTTTCTGTAACTTCAGTGATCAAGGTTACAATGGGCTCTTTTGTATAGTTACATGTTATCTCCAGGATATTCTTCCCATAATGCAAAAGTAATCCTAAAAGTGACATAAATCAGTGCCATCTCAGAATAGTGTGTTAAACGGCAGGTGTCATAAATCTTTAGTCTTTAGTCTAATATGGTAGCTGATGGTAAATTGCTTCCAATATTTGAGTAATGGTATCAAGTAATAGGGAAATGTTGGATCCAGATATTTAAAAAAATATATTTTTATTAATTTTAGAGAGGAAGGGAGAGGGAGAGAGAGAAACATCAATGATGAGAGAGAATCACTGATCCGCTGCCTCCTGCACGCCCCCTACTGGGGATTGAGCCTATAACTCGGGCAGGAGCCCTTGACCGGAATCGAACCTGGGACCCTTCAGCCTGCAGGCTGACGCTCTGTCCACTGAGCCAAACCAGCTAGGGCGGATCCAGATTTTGGCAGAGGGCCTGCATTTGCTAATAATTTCTGGAGGTAGTTATATTCCCTAATAATTTCCTTGAATCAAATAAATGAAGTTACTGATCTGAGGGGGGTGTATGAAAGATGGCAATCATTTTTCACATGACTAGACTTTTCATGTGCCACAGGCTGCTGGCTGTGGGACCATCCTTCTGTTTTCTAAAGCACGATTCTGCTTAACCGCTAACTCTGCGCTTCTGCTCTATTTGCAGCATCTGGCGAGGCCCCAATGTGAACTGCACAGACAGCTCGGGTTACACTGCTTTACACCATGCGGCCTTAAATGGACATAAGTAAGTGCCACTTATTCAGACTGGAATCCTTGTGTATTTCGTTACAGGTGATGGAGTTAATTATGTCTGACGATAGCTGTCTCATGTTGCCATGAGTCCCCTGGGCTTACAGAAACTCAGAGAGGCATCAGGTAGCAACACCTACACGTTGAACTTGGTAGGAATGTTGCTGAGGATGATTATGTGCAGAGTGTGAACGTAGAGGCCTGCTCTAAACTAGTCAGATGTCACACAGGGAGAAAATGAAAGAAGTGGCAGGACATGCTAGTCATGTGTAGCTTTGGGGAGGGAATGGGATTAAACCACCTAATAACACCACCCTACCGTTTTTGGTGTCTTCACCTAACATGGAATTATTCACAAGGAGCGAAATCTTAATAGATTCTTGCTGTTATGAGCCACAGACACTTACACAAACCACTCCAAAAACCTTCTAATTTAGCTAACGTGCCTTTTCTTTGTCATTCATGATGGTCTTTCTGGTTTTAAACTTGTGTAACCTATGGAATTATGCTTCAAAGAATGTGATAGTGTACAGTATGAAGAGCAAAAGAATGTGTAACCATAGCAACCATTTCATTCCCAGTGTTTTAGCGAGGTAACCTCCTGGGTTAGTGACAGTCAAAGTGTGAGGCATTCTCCGAATGATTCAGATGAAAAGTGACACTTTTCATGTGCCTCTTCCTCCTGTCTCTTTTTCCTTTGTTCTCCTGATCCAGGTTGGTCTTCCCAAGTCTGGATAATTTCATTTCACTTTTTTTTTTTTAAGTGTGTGTGTGTGTGTATTTAATTGATTTCAGAGAGGAAAGGAGAAGCAGAGAAAGATAGAAAATTCCATGATGAGAGAGAATCATTGATTGACTGCCTCCTGCACACCCCACCCTGGGGATTGAACTCGCAACCCAGGCATGTGCCCTGACTGGGCCATACATCAATGTTCAACCACTGAGCCATGCCACCCAGGCTCACTTTAGTTTATTAAAGCTGGTAATTACTGCCTTAAAATTCTACTTACTTTTTGCTTTCCCACTTTTTTTTTTTTTAACTTTGAATTGAGACACAAGAGACTTAGTCATATTTGATCACATTTTATGGCCTTAAAGTTCTCACACAGGAAACGTACCATTTTTAAAAATTATGTTTCACTATACCTTTTATTTATTTAAAAATTATTGCATAAATCTAACATTCTCTTTGGAGAGCCCTGTGAAGTACATAAAATATCATAAACTTAATGTCTCATCACTTGGATTCTTAGTATCAGTATTTCCAAATTATATATGTTTTTCATCCACTCCCTATTTTATGTCATCTAACTTAGAACTGTTTTATTTTGCCAGGTCTTTCTCAACTATATTGCTGTCCTTCTGTAGAGTGGAATATGTGTCCAGATACTTACGATCTGGATCTTTTCAAGGAATTGCTATTTATTTTTCTTTGTGCCATATACAATATGGCTCGTCAGGAATGAAGCCAGATTAAATCAGCCCAAAGTGCTCAATGCTGACGGCCTCTCGGGCCATCTTAGGTTTAGATTTTGGGAAGTTCTAGTTGGGAACACCAGCTAACAAATAACTGACCTAAGATCTGAGGCCTGACCATGTGACCTATTCTCCTTTTTTCCTTTTATCTCAGCTTGCCAGTATAAGCACCTCTCAAAAGAATGTTGTCCCCAAATGGATTAGCATTCACACCCCTCCTTGATTTTCTGTGTTTAGTAAATGTTAATGATGTATCCATAATGGCCTATGAAATTCTAATCATTGAGATATATTGCTCAATATAATTGCTCAATATATTGCTCAATATAAAAATTCAATGCATAATTTTTAGTTACTGTTAGCAATGTACAAAGTGAAGCTAATTTAAGTGCATTGAATAGCATTTATTAAGATCATCATAAAGAGATATCTAGGTATTTTTTAAGACCTCTAATTGCAGATATTCTCTGAGAATTATATATCTTTGCTTTGTTTATCTGAAGATCTCATTGACCTTTTTAACATTTTCTAGAGAGATTTTACTCAGTGTCATTCTATAGGCATTGGAAAAAAGCAGGAAATTTCTAATCCTGTCTTCCCATCTCCGTTAGTTATGTGACCTTGAGCCATTTAATTAACCTCTCTAGGCCTCAGTTTAATATACTGGGTATCTTTCCTTGTTTCTTCCAATTATAATATTTTGTGGTATATTATTTTCGTATTATTTGTGGATCAGTTATGCTGCTACAACTCTAAAATTTGGATTTTCATCTAAAGTATAAGATTGCCCTATTTTAAATTATTTAAATTACCCATGGACTTTTAAAAGTGGAGATCATTTATTTCACCTTACCCTCCTCACTTCCCTCATTTATAGATGGAGAAATAAGGCCATTCTGGATAAGTGACTGAGTGGCCACTTAGATATTAAGGTGGGGTTGTGTTTAGAGCCTAAGTGTTGTAGTTTAAAGTGTATGATTTTACCAACACTCTACAGTATCTCCCTTTTTTGTGCACACACACATCAGTTTCCTAAACTCTCGCTGGCTTTTCTCTGTCACATTGTGTGTTTCTGGGCTGCCTCCCATTATCATCAACTAGGGTGTTCACATGGAATGCTAATTTTACTATTGTCTTAAGACATTTGAAGGAGAAAAAAATGTCAGAGCCAGAGAAGGTTTTTCTTTCCTTTGCCTTTGCTGTTCTCACTTAGCATAGGTAATGAACTATTGATTGTGTTTATTCTTTCCAAGCAAGCCTTAGCAGTCAGCATGGAAACACATCATTTCCACGTGGGTGGCTATTGTTGTAGCCATCAGCACTAGAAGGTTTCCATAAACATTGTGATTTTTAGGCTGAAGTTTATGGAATCATGGAGCTAGAAATAATGTTACAGGGTCCTGTAGTTATTTTATTTTTGCTTTGAATGCAGGCTTTTTTCCTACTCCCAACATATAATCTAAGGACTTCTTACTGCATACTAAGCCCGTTTCCTCTTATTTTGTATGCTATATTGGTAGCGGTTGTTTATCAACACTAGTTAATCCACAAGTGGAGCAGCATTTTGTACCTGAAATACATTATTTTATAATGGACAGTTCATCTCGACTTAGCCAGATTAGGACACAATAGAAAATATACTCTGTTGATGATTTCTTGGGGTATTTGTAGTTGAAGATTAGAAAATTATTGCTTCAAATGATAGAAAAATCATGGTCAGTAGAACAAAATCCAGTAGCAACAATTATAGATAAATTATTTCAATAGATAGGCTATAGACCTAATTATTACTCTCTCTCTTTAAATATGGAAAATTCATTCTCTCTCTCATGTATTTTTACTACAAATTTGATTCTTTTAATTTACATAGTAATTAGCCAGTGTGGGGTGGAAGGCATTTTACTCTTATCATTCCATATTCTTCTGACTCATCTAGTAATCAAATCAACATGAGACAAATTATTAACAAGAGAAAATAACCAAATTTATTGCAGACATATGTATGGGAACCCCATATATGTGAGAGATTCAAAGACAGAAAGTTAAAATGAGGTATATGTGACATTTGAGCCAAGGATGAGGTAAGGTACCTGGGCCTTCAGAGGGGAGAAAGGTCACTGTCAGTATGATAAGAAGAGCAGATGTTCAGTAATTAGAAGTCTGCCCTGCCCTATATAGAGATAGGTCCTAAGTTATTTCTGGTAATACTTGTTATTACAGGCAAGGTCCCTAAGTTAAATTCTTTAAATTTGCCACCTTATTTCCATCAAGTAGAAGTAAAATCTTCAAGAAAGTCTGAAATGAACAGAACCGTCATGAATTTAAGAATTTCATTAGTTTTGTTAATACCATATCCATATGAAGATGATTTGCATTTATTTCAAAGTTCTTTTGACTGCCAATAAGCAAAGAGAGATGGAACAAACTAAATATTTTTGGTTAGCCCTAGCTGGTGTGGCTCAGTTGGTTGGGCATCATTTCATGCACCAAAAGGTTGCTAGTTCTATTCCTGGTCAGGGTACATGCCTAGGTTGCAGGCTAGATCTCCGGTAGGTGGCTTCAGGAGGCAGCCGATCCATGTTCTGCTATCACATTGATGTTTCTCTCTCTTTGTCCTTCTCCCTCTCTCTCTAAAAATCAATAAAAAAAAATCCTAAAAGAAAAAAAATCTTTGGTTATAATTTAATTATAGGAAAACTTGCTGTTGAGGTAAAAAAAATTTGAATTTTGAACCTTCCCAATTAGTTTAATTTTACTCCGACCATAAACTGAAACTTCTTAAAAAAAATTTCATATTAATTGGCAGTATATTTATAACTATCAGAAAATGATATAGTTGTGGAAATCAACACTTTTAGAATTCCTATTTTTACCCAAACTTATATATATTAGCCTCAAGCTGCAAAATGTTGCATTGCTTTGAATTGGATTATTATTAAATTTATTTTATATGTTGTTTAGCTCCTGGGAAATGGGATTATTTTTTCTCTGATCCCATCAATCATATTTACTTTAGAATTTTAAATAATTTCTTTTTTTTTTAAAATATATTTTATTGATTTTTTACAGAGAGGAAGGGAGAGAGATAGAGAGTTAGAAACATCGATGAGAGAGGAACATCGATCAGCTGCCTCCTGCACATCTACTGGGGATGTGCCCGCAACCCAGGTACATGCCCTTGACCGGAATCGAACCTGGGACCTTTCAGTCCGCAAGCCGATGCTCTATCCACTGAGCCAAACCGGTTTCGGCTTAAATAATTTCTTATATATTAGTGCTGCATATGAGAAAGAGTGCCATTTAATGTTGAAGATAAATAGGAATTACTTCTCTGCTTGCTATTCTATAGACTTGTTCATCAATATAACTCAATATTTTATACTAGGTAACCAAGCATAGTCAACCTATTTATTTGTTGATACCTCTAGAAGTTATAAGGTATAACTTAAAGAGATATTAAGAAAATACTTTTAAAAAAAGAGAAAATACCGATTTGATGGGATCCTGGTGTTAACTACTTTTTAAATTTAGATATTATAGAAAATATCTGAAATTTTTTTTATATATATTTTATTGTTTTTTTTTTACAGAGAGGAAGGGAGAGGGATAGAGAGTTAGAAACATCGATGAGAGAGAAACATCGATCAGCTGCCTCCTGCACACCCCCACTGGGGATGTGCCTGCAACCAAGGCACATGCCCTTGACCGGAATCGAATCTGGGACCCTTTAGTCCCTAGGCCAATGCTCTATCCACTGAGCCAAACCGGTCAGGGCCTGAAATTTAATTTGAATGAGTTTGGATGAAAAAGGCCTGTGTAGTACATACTAAATGTGACATACATGGATATATCAGAAAAAAGATTAATGACAATTTGTTGATTAATATTTTATGATTCAGTAAGGCACTTACTTGATTAGAGATATAACTTTATATTTCATAAACATATTTTCACATTAGAAATCTAAGCCAAGCCAGTTCATTAGCTGATATCTCTGAATAAGATGAAAAGATCAACTTAATAAAAATTAAAAATAAATGTAAATTAAAAAACAAATTTAATAAAGTGAGTAAGATTTTAAAAACATAAATAAAAATAACAGTATTTAATTAGATCTTATTGTTCACCAAAGGCCATTGCATACACATGCATATTACTCTTTTTTTGATTGAGATATTGGAAAGTGGTGCAGGGGTGGAAAAAGTTTTCCTTCTTTTCTTATAGTTTATTCGGCTGGTCTGATAATTAAGTTGATATAAGAAGGATTAACAGGCCCTGGCCAGTTTGGCTCAGTGGATAGAGCATTGGCCCACAGACTGAAGGATTGCAGGTTCAATTCTGGTCAAGGGCACGAACCTTGGTTGCAGATTCCATCCTTGGCCCTAGTTGAGGTACATGGCGGGGGTGGGGGGGGGGTGCGCGGGCAACCAATCGATGAGGGACTCTATCTCCCCCTCCTTTCCACTCTCTCTAAGAATCAATGGAAAATATCCTTGGGTGAGGATTAACGACAGCAATGACAAAAAAAGAAAAAAAAGAAAAGAGTAACAGGAGGAGAGAAAACAGAAATGTTATAACATGTATACTCCTGTATATACGGTAGGGACCCAGGAAAACTGAGTAACTCCCCCCAAAGCCACTACCTTAAATACCATTTCTAGCTAAAGACAAAAGATGTTGGGGCAGGGGAGTGAGGGAGGAAGCCAGTTCTGGGAGGTTATCAGAAAAAGCACAGTAAACAAGAGTATGGGGTTATCTGCAGATTTAGGTTACTGCCTTCCCCATTGATAAGAGTTTATGAAGATCGAGTCAGCTTTCTCCTGCTGGTACACAGAGGGAGATACCCTTACAAATAGACATTTCCCTGATCAATGTAACCATCTCTTACAACAGAGTAACCTCTCAGCTTTCAGAGCTCCCCCAAATCTTAAAAGTAATCAGCCTAACATTATCCTTGTGTCAAATAGGCATATTTTTGGGTGGTATATTCTGCTCTCCTTCACAAGTCCAGGCCACATTCTGGGCAATATTGTGTGTGTTTTTTTAATCATTTACTGTCATTTTGTATTGTGTCATGTTTATTTTTTTATGATGTGGGGGAAGAAGAAATTTTTATCTATCCTTATAGGTTCTTTCAGCTGGTCTAATCAAATTGACATGAGGCAGACTATTAACAAGAGAAAAACAACCAAATTTAATTATATACGTACGTATGGGAACCTCACATACTTGAGAGTCAGAGACCCCACACCATGAATTGTTCAGGGGGAGACAGGCAAAATGAGGTACAGATGACATCCTGAGCTAAGGAAGGCAGTTTGACACCTGAGGCTTCAGAACAAGAGGACATTCACAGATCCAATAAAAAACCAGATGTTCAGTAATTAGATATTTGTCCCGCCATACAGATAGGTCAAAAGAGGTTATCTCTGATAACTTATTATGGGCAGGGCCCCTAAGTTCATTTCTTCTAGGTAGTTGGGGTAAGGCGGTGGCGGTGGGTGGGGGATTTAGTTCAAAAAAATCCACATACCACAAAGGCACATTATTCTAAACCTTTACTGTGGGCTATCAGAATTCTAACTCCTATTCAAATTTCCTCTACCTTTTCTCATTTGTTACATTTAAAGCCTGGCTTTATGAAATATTTAAATGTAGGTCTTTATGCTACATTCATCCTCACCACTGGTGATTTGTTATATATGAGAAACAACTTTAGAATATGTTGTGATTGTCTGCACGTATTTGTTTATCTATCTAGGATTTCATTTAGTGAATTAATAGAATTTGCTTTTTAAATGCATCCAAATGAAAATATAGTTGCTCAGTTGTTTTTGATTGTTTGTTGCAAAGTTCTATGTAATTATACTAGTAATTATGAATTAATTCCGCCTGAGGTTGAGTATTGCAATTTAGAATTTTTACTTTGAAAACCTGGTGGGATTTAGTACAAAATCCTATAGGTAGGATATATTGAGTATGTACTGAAATTGCATCAATGATAGAACTTGTCGCATAAATGAATTTACCTCTTGAAACGATTTCTTAGACTTGAGAGGACAAAGCTCAATGAGTGCAGAAGTATGGACAATACATATTCAAAGTATATTGTGTGCTGTGGCTGAAAATGAATTAAACTCCCCACCCCCAACCTTGAGCTTGTACTGCAGCTAGACCTTAAAAGTCCCTTTCTTACTGTGCTGTCTGCTTTCTCTTGTACAGTCTATGTATCTTCAGTTACATATTGCAGTTCTCAATAGGAATGATACATAACTCCCTAAATGTCTGCTGATAGTATAATAACTTTTAAAAAAAAATAAGCAAGGAGTTTGCTTGAACCTCAGGTTTTTCTTTAGGTTAAATCTCAGGTATGGGCTATCTGGAAAGAACTACATTAAAAAAAACACGGGAAGAGGTATACTTTTAAATTATTTTACTTAGATCATTCGGTTAATGAAATTAGATAATTTTTCCCCCCCAAATGACTTCTGTTAAGTCGTTTCATTGGTTAGTCAACACTCTGTGTGAGTGTGTGTGGCAGTGGTGTTTTTTTCAGGTAAGTACAACAGCCAGATGATCAATAACCAGATTCTTAAACCCAATTTTACACCTCAGGACCTTGAATTATTATGCTAAATTGCCACCCAGCATCTACTATACTTTAATAATGATCTATTGAATAAAATCTGTGTTGTTCAGCACATTTTCTTTCCTGTTGTGTACTTTTCTTCTTCTTCTTTTTCTTCTTAGGGAAATAGTTCTCAAACTACTTCAATATGAGGCATCCACAAATGTAGCAGACAACAAGGGTTATTTCCCTATTCACCTGGCTGCCTGGAAAGGAGATGAGGAAATTGTGAAGATTCTTATTCATCATGGGCCATCGCATTCCCGAGTCAATGAACAGGTGCACTTGTCACATGTTTGCTCATGCTATACTTTTTTCTAGAGTTTTGAGAAGGCAAAGCCACAAGTGAAAACTTAAGTTATTTTAAAATGAGAATAAAAAGTGAATGTGAAAAAATTTGATTACTTCTGTTTTTACCCTGCCAAAGACTTTTCCACTACTGAATTTCCTGAAGGGAAATTTGAAAATTTCTTTGGCATTTGTATACAGTACATAGGCACTAATTTGGGCATTTTTAAAGATATTTGTTAACAAGAAAACCCCACCTAAGGGAAGTAGTTGTGATATTTTTGCCTGCCTTATATAAGCATCGATTTTATAGCTCTTGAATATTTAAAGGTAGAACGGAATTCACATTTATAATGGGAATTAGAGCTTTTCTTAGTAAACATTTAAATGCTAGGGAAGTAATGATAACTATCATTTGTATAGTGCTTTACCTTTTACACAGCAGCTTTACAGTAAGTGCCTTTTGCGAATCAAAGTACAATGTATAGAGTTGCTAGTCACAAATTAAGTTAAAATTTTTCTATATACGTAAATATATACATATGCCTAGAGTAAGATGAGTAAAACACCAACAGCAGTTGATACCACAGGTAAAGTCATAATATTTGCAAGTGCATAATATTCATATTACTCAAAACAGACATATTAAAGGAGGAAGGCCATTGTCAGTATTCTAAATAAATAAGACCACACATTCCAGAAAGCAGAATAAAGTCCCCTAAAACAGTATGATAACAAACATCTTAGCTCTGCATGCCCCCTACTGTTCCCATTTTGTAAAACAATATTTGAAAACCAGCATGCAGTCCAACAATTGAATTTCAACCATGGCATTAAGCTGCAGGTTGGCAGCTTTCCAACATCAATGCAAGTAGGTTACTCTAGGGCAGGCACATCTAATAAAGTATAATTAGCATATTGTTCAAATAGATACAGACCTTGCAGGCCCTTGGATGAAATTCAGACTAAAGAGTAAAAAGTAACACTATCACTAGCTATAAAGAGCAAAAGGAAGAAAAAAAGTTTATTTTTCCAAAATACAATAGGAAGAACTAATCAAGAAAAATGTTTTATTAATTGGAAATGTCTTATTAACACTTACCACAATAAAAATGTCTGTGTTTACAGGTTAAAAATGCAGAATATTTTTTATGAGAGTAAACATATACATCTGATCTTAAAAAAAAGGCAGATATGGCTCAGTGTATCATACTAAAAGGAAATGTATGAGAACGTTGTTCTGTTCTTCAGAAAACCAGAAGTTAAAAGATCATTTGTGGTATGAGCCATCTGGTGGTTATTCTGAATAATTGTCTGAATGCCCCAAAGCAAACCTGAAATAAGATGGAAAAATAATCCAAGGTTAAACAAGAGGATATTAGTTTTTACAAACAAAATATTTTTTAAATGTCATGAAAATAAGAAAAAACACACACCTAGAATTCATTTATATTTGAAACTTGACAATTTTAAATGGGGTATGACTGCCATGGTATGTTTTAAAGAGAAACACTTGTTTTGTGTGATGTTGAACAGTTCAATTAAAATATAAAAAAAGTCTTTCCCAAGGAGATTCTTTTTTCACTTCTATACTTTGTGTTTTGGTTTCTATTTGGTTTCATATTAGGGCACCAATATGTCTTCATTCTCTTATATGGAAAATAAAATGAAACTTAATTTGGGAGACCTCTCTGTAAGTCTTTCATTGTCAAAAATTTACTGATTTGTGGGGGACGCCAGTCAAGATAGCAGACTAAGTGGATGCTGTGCTCTCCTTCTCCCATGACCACATCAAATTTACAGCTAAATTACAGAACAGCCAACCTGGTGAACCATCTGAGGACTAGCTGAACCGAAGTCCTAAACTAAGCATATAAAGAAGAATCCACACCTGGCCAGTGTGGCTCAGGAGTTGAGCTTTGACCCATGAACCAGGAGGTCAGGGCTTGATTCCCAGTCAGGGCACATACCTGGCTTGCAGGCTCGATCCCCAATAGGGAATGCAGGAGGCAGCCGATCAATGATTCTCTCTCATCATTGATGTTTCTATCTTGCTCTCCCTCCCCCGCTCAGAAATCAAAAAACATATACTTTTTTTTTTTTTTTAAAAAAGAAGTTGTGTTGAGGTAGCATCAATGAACTTAAAAAAAAAAAAGAATTGACGAACTCATTTGTCTTTTGGAAAGCCAGGCTATTGAAAGTGTGTTATAATTGTTATTAATCTCTCTCATTAACAAATGTCATGGAGGCGCGATGCACAGTGCAGATCACACTGAAACACCGACCATCTGGGCCCAGCAGGGCCGCTGACTAACATGGCTAAATCATTTATCACTCTTGGAAATTGGAATAAAT